CCCCCACGTCCTCATCAAAATCATAGCATCGATCAATTTTTAAACAAAGAAACTAAAATCAGAACATAAGCCAAAAGAGCCTATAAGCGACAGTAATAATACAAAAAAAATGTTTCTTGTTGTTATTAATTGTTGCTGTTGTTGTTGTTTTTGTAGTTGTTGTTTGTAGTTGTTAATATTGTTGTTGTTTTTCTTCTTCTTCTTCTTCTTCTTCTTCTTCTTCTTCTTCTTCTTCTTCTTCTTCTTCTTCTTCTTCTTCTTCTTCTTCTTCTTCTTCTTCTTCTTCTTCTTCTTCTTCTTCTTCTTCTTCTTCTTCTTCTTCTTCTTCTTCTTCTTCTTCTGGCAGAGGTCTTTGGAGTAGCGACGTGGGGTCGGAAGCTTTGCAAGGTTAGGCTGTATGACATGTAATCATGAGATTGCAGATTTGCGGGTTCGAGGTTCAGCGCAGTCTGATGTCGTGTCCTTCGGAAAGGGACGTTACATTTATTGTCACATTTGGCCCAGTTCTATCAGAGATGGTCGTAAAACTCGGAGGTCCCGCATCTTAAATTGCCTCACAGTGTTGTCAGGGGCATTAACTCTATAATATACAATTTCGCATATTTTCGGAGTAGTTGTTTGGCCCTTCTCAGTTGCACTCAGAAGACGCGAGTTAAATAGTGATAATTATTTTGGGGGTATTTCGGTCTATCTGCTGTGGCGATAAGCCCCTTTCAACCTGAATTGACCTTGACTGGCTGGATCTATCCCCGCTTCCTAAATGATCTAAATTGTTTCGCTAGGAGTGGGAAAACATAACATTATGCACACACATTGTTGTTCTTCTTCTTCTCCTCCTCCTCCTCCTCCTCCTCCTCCTTCTTCTTCTTCTTCTTCTTCTTCTTCTTCTTCTTCTTCTTCTTCTTCTTCTTCGAAGTTGTTATATTTCTCAACAATTTCGAGCATTTCATTACATAGACGGCCTTTTCATTTGCTTGTGTACTGATAAAGGTAAATTTGAGCTCTGCATTCGGAACGCACTTGACCTACTACGTACATCGGAGGTATTAATTTATTCAAAGTGAGACAATACATGGGTGATCGTGACGTCATGCGCAAAGGACGCTTTTTGATAGTTTTTAAGAATGGTGGATCGAAATTAATTGTGACCTCTGAATGTCCTCAGTGCGTGTGGTATCAATACTATGATGAAAGTAGAAGCTGTACTTCCTGACCGATTCCAACTTGGCGAGTCTGGGTTCTGGGACATCAGGTCGGAATCGTGGCTTGGGGTGGACGTGAGGGGTAATGCAGTGATACGATACAATCCAAGTATACCTCGAGTGAACAGAATCAATCTCGGTAAGTGGAGAAAATTTGCTATATACTATGTTGTAGCTGCTTATCATTCTTCTCCTCTCCCCTGTCCCCTCTCCTTCCTCCTCTCCTCCTCCTCCTCCCCTCGCATCATCATCACCATCATCATCATCATTATCAGCAGCAGGAGCAACAGCAGCAGCAGCAGCAGCAGCAGTTACTCAAATACCACCATTTACATCATCAACACTACCACGACCGCCACTTAACTCAAAATTGAAATTACTTATAACATGCCACTGTGCGTGTGTATCTGTGTATGTTCGTGCTCTTGTGTCCGCGATCGTGCATGTGCACACGTGTGCGTGTGCGTGTGCGTGTTTGTATGAGTGCGTGTGTGTGTGTGTGTGTGTGTGTGTTTGTGTGTGTGTGTGTGAGTGTGTGCGTGTGTGTGTGTGCGTGTGTGAAAGAGAGAGAGAGAAAGAGAGAAAGAGGGAGAGAGAGAGAAGGAGAGAGAGATAGAGAGAGAGAGAGAGAGAGAGAGAGAGAGAGAGAGAGAGAGAGAGAAAGAGAGGTGAAACACAAAAAACAGTCAGACAGCGTCTGGACATTAAGGACTATTTATGTCTCATTTGATGCAAATTAATACTCATCAGTCGACTCGCCACTTCACTCCACCCTCACCTTCTTTAAGCATACCAACTAGATCTACACCTGCCCCTATTAAAAATACATTAGCGTGGCTGTTTGTGAAACCAGGCACCCGTGGAAATACAGGGTGATCCCAAAAAAACTTTACACATTTTTTTCTGAATATCTCGCTCAAAAAATTGTTCTAGAATGCTGTAATTTGGAACAGACATAATTCATTCAAAAGAAAATTGTTTGATATAAAATCCACGAAGAAGAAACATGTTTTGAAAACGGAAACGGCTAAAAGAAAAAAGCACCCCAGAAAACGCAAAGTTCACCAAAGTTTGAAAATCTTGTAAAGGAAGTCGTGAAAAGATTAGTTGACCCTTTTCTTTATTTTCTCTTTGACATTAATTTTCCACCCTGTGACATTTAAACAACATTTAAATTATTTTACAGAGTTTTAAAAACCTAATGATTTCATTCTGAAATTCCTAGAAGCAGTGCTCCACATTCCCTCCTTTGGACTTGACACATTTTTACGCGTTGTTCGAAATGTTCAGTAGCGCCCTAACACAAGGACCTGCTAAACCATGAGTTTTTAAAGCCACATACACCGTATATGTTCACTTAGAAGTGGCTTCTAGAGACAATAGATGGGGTGCCCAATAGACAGCAATTTTGGAGTTAACATATCCCGCAGGGTGAAAATGGGCTTTGCACTAAACCAAATGTCATCGAGGAAATGATCCCTCTTTACAAGACAATCGAGGAATCATGAACACATTGCCATGCTCTGATCCATTTCATCTCGGTCTAGCGAAGATGAACATGGTATAGTCTTAGGTTAAGATCTGCCATGAGATTGCAGATCGTTGATGTGTAGGAAAGTCCTAGCTGCAGATCATCCAAGGACAGACGTCTCATGGGACTCTGCCACTGAAACCCGCACTCTGGTGACGTTTAAAGGGCTGCGCATGGTACGTGTTCAACCTCAAGTGGTCATGTTTTAAAGAACTTTTTAGTTTTGATTCGCTGTAGATCCAAACTGACGGAACTTCTCTACTCATGACGCCATAGGTCTTGAGGGCACCTAAGCATTCTCTCCATGCCGTGCGCAAAACTTTTGGAATGTCAGGGATGGTGAGTTTGTGGAGATGTAATGTTCAATACAAAAAGCTCTCTGCTCTTTACTAAACGTAACCATGATCTGAAAAATAATATCTGCAGACTTCTGTTGACTTGTTAGACTGCTGTGGCTTGCAATATGGTGTGATTATTGCAACTTTTGGTGGTAGGCCTAACGCGAACTGGTGCGTCATGCTATGAAAATGGCGACAAGGTTGAAAATGGGTTGGTTTTTTTAATGCGCTGTATAGAGCAAAACCATTCAATGGACTTATCTAAATACATATCAGACAAATTCCTTTTGGCTCCCAAATGTTATGTTCAAATCTGAAACGCAAAACTTGAATATGGAGGAAGTTATTTAAAAAACAAGTTGTAAAGGTTGTTGTTTTTTTTATCACCCTGTAATTAGCTCGAAGAAGCCGACATCTTTCCGGCCATTGGAGAATTTTCATCTTTCTTGCTTTTGTTCAACACCTTTCACGTTCATTATTTGTTTAATACAAACAAACATATAACAACATCAACGAACAAACAAACAAACTAAACCAAACAAATAAAAAGCCTATTCCCGAGTAGGTATTACTAAAAATCGTTTACCACAGGTATTTGGGGGGGGGGGTGGTCAGTGTAAAGCATTTATTTTAATTATACAATGATACTACTATGGTAATGAAACTAGGATTTGCTTGGATTTACTTGGATACGGAGCTAGAATCATAGCAGGCGGCACATGTCCATAGCTGCTCATCTCTCCTTTCCAGTGTCCACCTCAGGGTCTTCTTGCTAATTGTCTCCATAAGGAGCTGGTTTGAGACACGCCTGACCACTCCTCGGAGCAAACTTTTTTTCGCTGTGCCCCGCACACACTTTTCTTTTATTGTGCTGAGTGTGTGGGAGTCTGTCTCCTCTTGGTTGTGAAGGCTCTCCTTGCATCTGGCGATCACCATTGGTGGGTCGAGCATGATTCGGCCATTGGGTGCTGTTTTGCCGGCAAGTTCATCAGCACGCTCATTTCCGTGCACCCTGGCGTGACCAGGACAGGACTCCCATGTAATTCTTAGGAGGTGGCTATTTGCAATGGAAGCTCTACAGTCACTGTAGAGCCATCCACTCCTGATTTTTCCTATGTTGCTCATCGAATCTGTGACAAACAGGGTATGTTTATACGCTTCCATGCTGAGGTAATGAAACGCCAATAATAATTGTAATGATTTCCTTGTAAGCTTTCTTGTATTCCCTCAATAGAAAAAGAAACACATTTCGCTATTCCGCGAAGCAACGGCGGTGGAAATGTGATCACGCAGGCAGATAGTGTAAACTTTCTGCTAGAGAAGACTGGAAAAACCACTCCTTTTGTCTCTGGAGAGAAGTTAGGGCTACCTGCTAATGGACTCATTAACGACGGAAAGTGCGACGCTAAAGGCCGACTCTGGTTAGGTGAGTACATACAAGTTTTGTTACATAAATACGACTCGAGTATGTATGATTTTTACTTTAGTGAGATTGTTCTGTGTTAGATATTCATATTATGACCTTTAAAGCATGCATCAGAATACCTTTGAGTTACAATCAGAATACTTAGTACGTTTCATGCTGAACACTATTGGTGTTTATATTAGTATTCATTTATATAATTTATGCATGTGACTGTGAGCTTGTTTGAGAGTGCAAGCATACAATAATATTAATAGTATTATGGTTATGTGCACAGATGTCTGTGGAAGAGAGGATGTGTGAGGGATGAGTGTGTATGTATCTGTGTGTGCACATGTGCGTGCGTATGCATGTGTGTGCGTGAGTGTGTGTATGTGTGTGTGTGTGTGTGTGCATGTTTGTACATCTGTGTGTGTGTGTGTGTGTGTGTGTGTG